TTGAGGGAGACTAGTTGTAATAAGTGGATTATACCTCTTTTTTTTTCACTTTTTTTTTTTCCGTTGGTGGTTCCTACTATCCAATCATTTCTTATAGGTATGATGATTAAATGAACATGGCTTACAAGGGTTAACTTACAGGGGAGGTTTGAGGTTTGCTCCTTGTTTTACTGCTTCTCTGGTTCTAATTTCCCTTAGAATCGGTTTGCCTTTCGAAGGTTCAGCTTAGAGTGGCTTTTTTTGTTGGGCTGCAATTTGGGGCAAGATTTTGACAATAGATAACTTTTGACGAAGACAGGCTACAGTAAACTGATGTTGCATATGTAAAGAGGGATGGGGAGTTAGTGGATAACCTCCTCCTGCATTGCCATGTTGCTCAAGGCTGTTGGAACCTTATTTTTGGTTGTTCGGCATCCATTGGGTTATGCTTCGATCTTCGAGAGATTTGATTAATGCTTTGAGAGGCTGCTCAGTGGGAGACCGCGTTCGTGATTTTTGGAGGACGGCCCCCTTTTGTGTTTGGTGGTGCATTTGGAAAGAGCGGAATAGAAAATCTTTTGATGTAGAGAAATCTTCCATTGGGGCTTTGAAATTTATTATTATTAGCTCTCTTTTAGTTGGGTGATGGGGAGAAATTGTAAATCTGTAGCGGAGATTGTTGAATCTTTGGGCTCCTTGGGTCCTTAGGCTATCTTTTTTGGCTTCGGCCCTTATATAGTTTTCGGGATGCGTTCTCCTCTTGAATGCTTTTTAATATATTTGTACTTCTAAAAAAAATGTTTTGCTTTTATTTTTTCACGGTAATATACAATCTAAGTATGTTTTGGTTGTGCATAAATTAATGTACGTATATGTGATGTCCACACTCGCACCATTGAGAAGGATTTTTTTTTGAACAGGGAAGAGCACACTTTTGAATCATCTTTTCAATACCAATTTTACGGAAATGGATGCATTCAGGGGAAGGTTAGTTTTTTCAGCCTGTCTGTTTGCATCACATTGAGGAGGACAAGTTTATCTTTTTCTAGTCATACAGTTGTTTCTCTTGCTGTTACTTGCACTCGTAACCATACAAGAGACATGCAACATATGTTATTCTGTTACAGAAATCAAACAACAAAGGGAATTTGGATAGCGAAGGGTATCGACATTGAACCTTGTACAATTGTCATGGATTTGGAGGGAACTGATGGAAGGGAAAGGGGCGAGGTAACAGCCTTCGTATTGATCTTTGTTACTTTTATCCAGAAGGAATAATTGGAAAAAGTAGAGCTCAGTTGTTGTGATCAGAAAAATGACTGTTGCGGTTACCTTAAACTTGTAATCTCTACCCTTTTGGCCTTTAGTTTAATCGTACAAACCTTTAAATGATGTTTCTTGCTTTATCCAGGTGGGTTCTGAATCTTCTGATCGTGCAATTTGTACGGACGTTTGTATAGTATTTTAAACCTTGTTCTAATCTGATACTTCGGCGTGGTAATTTTTTAATTTCAGGATGATACGGCATTTGAGAAACAAAGTGCCCTCTTTGCTTTGGCAGTTTCAGATATTGTGCTAATAAATATGTAAGCTTGCAATCTTTTCATATAATGTTTTTCTACTTTTTTCTGCCTTGTGGCTTAAGAATCGTCTCTATATATGGTTGGAATCAAGAGTGGTCACGAGTCTGATCCAGGTTGAGATCAAAATTGTTATTGAAACATGGACTCAAGTATGGCCAATCATGATCATACCAGGATGTGGAAGCCTACTCCCTGCCCAAAAGAAGATTATTAAAATTTGCCCAGTCCAGCTTGACCCTTTTTAAATAACTCATTAAGCAGTTTAACGGGAAATTTGTAGTGAATAAATATTTTATGCTGTAAGCTTACTGATTCATGCTGGAATGGACCAAACTTATCTTTCTGATATGTGAACCCGAAGCTCCAATCAAGCCCTAAAATATCGGTCTGTTCAGATTATCCAGAATGCATATATGGTTGGCCCTAGCGGCTTAGACATGCATCCCAGAAAGTTATTTCAAATTTTATTTTGTTTAATATATTTCTACCATTAAAAGTATGACATTCATCCGATGCATTTTTGACAGATTATGTTAAGATGTTGGACATTCCTCCCTTTTGGAAAGAAAGAAAGGGAGGGAGGTCCCTTTTGGAAAGAAAGGAAAAGGGGAGGTGGGGTGGCTCTACCAAACAAAGGGAACATGGTCCATCTCTTCTCTATTCCTTCCCTCATATCAAACATAGGCCAAGTGAATCCAAAACTGGTCTAGTCCAACATAATCGCATTTGGTTTTTAATCCCATTTAATCATGAGCTAAAAAGTTTCTAAGTGTCTTGGATCTTAATGGACTGTAATATCCATTTTTTTTGGTATATATACATGTATAAGAGTTAGTTCAAGTATCAACAAAATGCCTAATATTGCATAACAGGTGGTGCCATGATATTGGTCGGGAGCAGGCTGCCAACAAACCTCTTTTGAAAACAGTATTTCAGGTACTCCCATGTTTATTTTAAAGTTGACCTTCTCATGTTGTTTTCTAATTATGACAGTCTATTTTATAACCTTCAGGTTATGATGCGATTATTTAGCCCACGCAAAACTACACTTCTCTTCGTAATACGTGACAAAACAAAGGTTTGGAATTTAGCAGTTCATTTTCCTGAAAGTTGTTGTTCCATCTACTTTGTCCTCCGCTATTTAAAAGCTGCCTTATTTCTTTCGTTTTGATTTATTACCTTCTCTTGACTACCTGCCAATGTAGACCCCACTTCAAATTTTGGAGCCTGTTTTGAGGGAGGATATTCAGAAGGTATTTTTGTGCATATTTCCTTGTTTTTGTGCATAACAAGTCCAATCTTCAGGTTGTCGTTTACTTCCTTTTTCCTTTTTCTAGCTTGCATCTTTTGTCCTTTTAGCCTTATTGTGGATAATTGTTCCTGCAGATATGGGACACGGTGTCTAAGCCTCATGCCCACAAGGACACATCTCTGAGTGAATTTTTCAATGCAAGACATCCTCTCTGTGGGTGTGTGTGTCTGTATGTGTGAAATTTTCCTCTCTGATTTAGCTTTCTTGGACTTGAAGGTGGAAGTCACTGCTTTATCCAGCTTTGAATATCAGGAAGATCAGTTTAAAGAGCAGGTAGTCCCTCTAATATGAACTGCTTTTTAAAAGTTACATACTATTTACTAGCTGTCACATATTTTTTATTTCTCAGAACTTTAAAAGCATTCTTCCAGCTTTTTGTTTTGGTCCTGGATAAGCTCACCATATAACTGCAATTGATGTGCGATGAACCAAACTTTAAATAGGAATCTCTTCAGGTTAGAATTTTGAGAAATCACGTGGCCTATCACTTAGAAACCTCCACGTCCTGAGATCATTCGTCAGTTACACGTCAATAATTTTTTTGGCAATATGAATAATCCTAAGTAGAAATAAAAACATCTTGATGGATTTGAACCGGTATAGTGACTTTTGGACACAATCATCAGAGCACCGAAACAGAAGTTCATTTTAATACATAAACCATAAGTTAGTGGTATAATTATACCAGCTTTTTATGATTATATGTCACAATCACATTCATCTTCTCTTGCATTATTCCTATAGAATCTCTTCAAAACTTTCTTCAGATTCCATCAGAAAATTCAAGTAGGTAATGGAAAAGGTCACCATTGAAAGATATAAGCGCGCTTTAGGAGGATAGTTGTATATGTCAAAAAACAAGGGTGCTTCTGTCCTGTAAATGTTGGAGCCAATTATCTTTTTTATTACAAGCCTGGTATAGATATATTTACCGAATTACAAAATTGGTGCTTGGAATCATTATCTTCTACTATATATGCATTTTCACCCATGTTACTCTATAATTTATAGATGGGTTTACATCTTTTGTGTGTTAATACAGGTTGCTCAACTGAGGCAGCGTTTTTTCCATTCAATTGCTCCAGGAGGGCTTGCTGGGGATAGACAGGGTATTGTCCCTGCCTCAGGATTTTCCTTCAGTACACATCAGATATGGAACGTTATAAAAGAAAATAGGGATCTTGACCTTCCTGCTCATAAGGTTACATTCTGTTCCTCCCTGTTTTGATAAGAAATTATTGGATTTCTTAGGCAACTATTATTATTATTATTATTGTAATATTCTTTTTTTGTATTGCTTTATTCCTTTTTATTTTTACATAACCAGGTCATGGTTGCCACTGTTCGTTGTGAAGAAATCGCAAATGAGAAGCTCAGTTGCTTGAACACCAATGAGGTATTTTATGCATCAATCTTCCATTCTGGTGTTACTTTTGGTCTACCAGAAATCATTTGTTGGGCAAAGCTTAGTTGTTGATTTGATGTAGGGTTGGTTAGAACTGGTGGAAGCGGTTCAAGGTGGTCCCGTATCAGGTTTTGGGAAAAAGCTAAGCTCAATCTTAGAAACCTATATTTCAGAGTAAGTTTTCGTCCCTATTATATAAAATTAAATTAATATCTTCCTGAACAAGGAAAGTTTTCATTGCTGACCTCTCTAATCTGAAGGCATTTTTAAAATTGAAGAACTATCAATAAAATGTACGAACCATTAATCTATTATTATATGACTGCATCATTCAAATAAGATGGATTATTCATTATTCAAAAGGCTTAGAATCTTTTTAGTGAAAGCAACCGGTGAACCTTTTTTTCCGTTTATAGAAATATATATGACAATTATATTGTGACATCTTTCAGAAGTTAAAAAGACCCTTCAAAATATATAGCTGTAGAATTGGTTACAAATTGATTGTTATTGTCTCCTTATATTAAAACGACCCTAAACTGATACCATTTATAAAAAAAAATTCAGCATGACCTCTATTAAAAAGAGGCCTACAACAAACTGCTTCATAAAAAAAATGCAATAGCCTTTCTTGCCCTTTCAAGACTTATCCAAGCAGTCCCAACATACAATACAAAAAAAATACATTCCCCAATACTATCACATCAACAACCTGCTCGAGTTGGCCCATCATCGTCATCCCATTCAACTTAAGCATTTACATAGTCTCAATTTACATCCAAAAAAATAGTCAAGTACCTTAGTTATGTTACATGGCCATGATAAAATAAATTAATACTCTTTTCCATAATTTGAAACTTTACAAAAATTTAACCAAAACACAAAATGTATCAAAATAGATCTTTAGTTCTCTTCATGCTTGAGAGGGTTTAGCATCCACTATTTTCTTTCCCGGCCCTGAAAAATGTTAAATAATGGGGTGAGCATAAAGCTTAGTTGGTAGTGCCTAAGATGTACTTCTTGTGATCCCGTAAACCCAAATAATGAATAGGACAATAGGGAGAGGGGTCATGCTAAACCGGGAAAAATACAATGTAAATCTGCAAATTCAAAACAAATGAATGTCGTTCCATGAATGCAATGCCATGCATGTTACTCCCCGTTTTCAGAAAACTTCCATCACTTCACAAACTGTTAATATAACCCGCCCTTTGGTGACTCCGCAACGACACGAGAGAAGGATTGGCTACTGTCCTGACCTTTGGTACCTTCGCAGAGTCATTTGGGGTCCAGATAGCTCAACCACGCTAGGGCAATCTCCCTAGTTCTCTCTAGGCTATATTAACACACCGGCCCTTTGGTAACTCCGCGACAAACGGGTTTTCTCAAAACCGTTTCATCAAATTTTCTCCAAAAATTCCCTTTTTCATTCTTATCAAATCATTGTACCCATTTTCATGCCCATGCTATAAGTGCCGATCACATGTCTTTTTAATACCATGAAAATGAAGAGAATTATTATCACATAATTAACATACTTCCACATAAAATTTTCAATAAATTATTAAGCATCACAGGCATGGAAAAATTAACATATTAAGCATACTTTACAATAATTCTAAGAAAATTTTCATAAACTTCTATGTATCATTTTTAGTAATTTTGTCAACACAATAACATAAAGAAATTACAATAATTCTAAGAAAATTTCCATAAGATTCCAGATATCATTTTTAGTAATTTTATTAACACAATATAAAGAAATTAATAATGAAACATGCTTTTTATACAAATCAACAATTACACATATAGTCATGAACTTTACGCCCACAAGAAAATCATTCTAGAAGTAATTAATTTCAATTAAGCATGTTAGCATCAAATAACAAGAATTAAATCACAAAGGAACAAGAAAATACAAATTAAAGACCCCTACTTTGAAAAAAAAATTTCCTCACTAGATCATCATAACCTCAAGCTCCAAGACCTCCTCTGTAGACTCTCGGACCTCTCTGCAACTCTCGGCTCCTCTCCGTCTCTCTCTCAACTCACTCTGTATCCTCAATCTCGGCCCTCTCTCAATCTTCTCTAATTTTTCTCTTCTTTGTTCTCTTACCAAAGTCTTAAACACTAAATATATAGGCAGGGCACTAATTTCACACAAAATCTGCTAACAACCCACGTGCATAAAGCATAACACCACAAACTTTACTCCAAATATCAATCAGTGGATCCCACCACATTATTACCTTATCTTTACATTTGTTTAAGTTCAAATCTCCATCTGACATAACTTAAAAACACCCTAATTCAGCCCACGTGAAGACAATAAAGGCCAAAAGCTTTTTGGGTGCAAAATCATATTGGTGGGACCCGCAAAAAAAAAAATTACATATCTCGATACAACAAAACAAAACTTCGTAAACATCATTTCATGTGAGCCCCATCATCACCATCACCAATTTCAACTTTCTTTTTCTTTCTACTTCGACTGGCCTTATGTTCACCGCATGATGCCTTTCATATATATATATATATGTATACACAAATGCAAAAAGATTAAACCAACACAAGTTTAATTCTTCTAAATTGCAATATTATATCCGAATATCCAATTAGTAAGTCCCCAATCCAAATTTAAATAACATCACTAAAATTCATAAAATAAATTAAATTAAAATCCTAAAATTTCGAGTCATCACATATATTTATTTATTTTTGTTTGTTTACATGTTACTTTTGTCATAGTTATTATTATTTTTTCACTTATCCTATTGTCTTATTAATAAATAATCATCTCAGTTATGCTCCAAAACTTCATGCAATGCTTGCTTAATTTGCAAATTGAATACCTGACATTATTCTAAATGTTAGGGGTTCTTAATCTGGTAACTTTGACGTCTTTAAGTCCCACTGAACAGGCATGTGTTCTAGGAGGCATGACTTATGGTAGAAAAGAATAAAAGAAGAGAATTTATGTGGCCAATCCCATTTGATTTGGACCAAGGCAAAATTGATGATCATTAATGGTTCTGTGCTTCTCAAGAACTTATTCTCGTATTGGTTCTGCCTTTTAGGGGTGGAAAGCTCAAGTGAAAGTGAAAATTAAGACCTATTGTACTTGTTTCAGTTTTTGTCCTTTTGAACTTTTCTGAAATCAAAATTGGAGATGTTGATTTTTTTGCTCTAATCCTCTTGTTGGTTATTTTTTGAGATAATGTTCCTTTACTAAATTGATTTGGACCCTTTGATCTTGCTTGTTTACTCTACGTATTCTTTTCTATAGATATGAACTGGAGGCCATGTACTTTAATGAAGGCGTGAGAAATGCAAAACAACGAGAATTGGAGTCGAAAATGTTACAGGTGACATTTTTTTAGTCATTTTCGTAGTACGTTTTTTAGGTCATTAATAGATTCCTTATTAAGTTGTGGCAGTGGCATGGAATGCTTTGTTGCGGGAACTGGTTTGGAGAAAATATATTAATGTATTTTTTATTTGGTGTGTTTGTTTCTCAGGCTGTCTAACCTATTGGAAATATAATCATCTAAAAGTTAAACACTAATGAATTTGAATAATGATTATATGATGATCGCTTTCTTAAGCTACCTAAGATGCAAATTTTCTTTCCAAAATTTTTTTTTAAGTGAATGGGGCCTATAATATTTAGCTATAATCATTGGTGCTAACTGTAAGCACCAGCTTACTTTTAGAAGCAAGCATTTTTGCTTTCACATCGTTCAGATTTTGGAACTTACTACCAGATATTTCCTATGCTGCTTAGTTTAGTAGCTAACACCAAGGAGCTCCATCAAGGCAAAGGTCATCTTACAATTTCTCTAAGAAATTCGAACTACACCATATCTTTAGATATCCAACACAATAATTGAGATTAATTGGATCAACCAACAATGGTTTGCGATATAGTTTTTTCTGCACATTTGTGGTTAACATTACAGACTTGATAAATTTCCAGGCAGATGATATCTGTTGCAAACAAACTGAAAAAACTGCATGTTAATTCACGTGCAGTGCAGCAATTTCAGTATATATAATTTTGATAATCTGGTCATATAGATTGTTTCTTGTTTGGTTGCATTTATTTTATTTTGTGTGTGTGTGTGTGTTTTTTTTTTTTTTTTTGGGTTGAGGGGGATAATTTTTAAGGATCTCTGCTAAATATTTTTGGCATTATGAGATGTAGAGAAGCGAATGGTGCTGGGGTGGCTATCCTTATTTTATAGTAGTTTACGATGTTATAATAGTGAATACATATCTTTGTTTAATGCATTTGTGAGATAATAATGTGAGTGATATTTACTATGATGAATTGGTAATGTGCAATGAAGGCCACTCATTGTACTGGTGAGGAAGACTAGTATGCTTCACATTGGGACCACCTTAAACCAATATATCTTTGTCATATGCTCATTTTTTTATGTATCGTGCAGATAGTGCATCCCGCTTACATTACCATGTTGGGACATTTACGTTCTGGAATGCTCGAAAGTTTTAAGACAGAACTTGAACAATCATTGCACAGAGGAGAAGGGTTTGCTGCTTCAGTTCGTATGTGTACTCAGTCTTGTATGCACGAGTTCCACCAGGGATGTCAAGGTAGTCTAATATATATAAAATAGTGGATAATCACACATGCAATTATCTTGGGACTTTATATTGGTTGATTTGGTTTTGCTTCTACCTTGTTGCAACAGGGTTTTTGCTCTTGCATTCTACACTGCTTTCATATAAATTATAAGCTACTTTTGTGTGTAACTATTCTAAGGTAACGCAATTAACCTTTGCTTCGTGCAAATTTACTTAATTAATAACCACAAATACAGAAGAAATATATATATATATATATATATAAAAGAATTGTATACAAACTTGAATGAGATGAATCAATCATTCACAACTCTAGTATTTATAAATTAAAAAGAGCACATGCTCATATTATAAGAAATGAAATAAAATAAAATCTAAATCAAATCATAGCATATTCTATGGCATATTCTATAGAATAATCAAATCTCTACTAATATGGTAAGTCATTTCATAAATCATGGCTATCATATATGCTAACACTCCCCCTCAAGTTATGCGTGGTTATCTGAAATGCCCAACTTGGATAATGCACTCTCTCAAACACAATCTTACTGACGCCCTTTGTAAGAATGTCTGCATGTTGCTAAAAGCGTGTGACAAATGGAGTACAAATTTGACCAAAGATGATCTTTTTTTGAATGAAGTGACGGTCCACCTCTATATGCTTAGTCCTATCATGCTGAACATGATTTGCTGCTATGCAAATGGCAGACTTATCACAGTAAAGTGAGAATGGAAGTGACACTAGAAGGCACACATCTGTTATCAAGGTTTTCAGCCATAACAACTCACAACACGTCTTTCATCAAGGTTTTCAGCCATAACAACTCACAACATGTCTGTCATCAAGGTTTTCAGCCATAACAACTCACATACTCCAAGAGCCATAGCCCTATACTCTGCCTCTGCATTAGATCGAGAGACAACATACTGCTTGTTACTGCGCCAAGTAACCAAGTTGCCACCAATAATGGTACAATAGCCCGAAGTTGACCTCCTATCTAAAACTGATCCTGCATAATCAACATCTGTCCAAGCCTCAACATATAAGTGACTATGATTGGCAAACAAAATACCATGGCCCGGACACCATTTTAAGTAACGAAGGATCCGAATAGCTACATCAAGGTGAAGGGTGCAGGGAGAGTGCATGAATTAATTCACGACGCTCATAATATAAGTAATGTCAGGTCGAGTGATGGATAAATAGATGAACTTCCCTACAAGTCGTCGATACTACCAACATCCGACAATAACTCCCCCTCAAAATCAGCCAACTGATGATTCTACTCAATCGGAGTATTAGCAGGACGAGTGCCAAGCTGACTAGAAATAGAAAACAAGTCAAGAACCCACTTGCGCTGAGAGATGGAAATACTAGCCTTGGAATGAGCCAACTCAATACCCAAGAAGTACCGAAGGGGACCAAGATCCTTAATCTCAAACTGACGGCCAAGATAGCTCTTAACCTTAGTAATTCCTGCAGTATCATCTCCGGTAAGAACAATATCATCGACATACACAATGAGGGCAATTGTCTTATCACCTAAATGATGTAAGGACAAGGTGTGATTAGCTGCGCTCTAATAGAAACCAAACTTGAGCATGGCAGTGCCAAAGTGATCAGACCAAGCTTGAGGAGACTACTTAAGGCCATACAGGGAACGATGAAGATGATAGACTATTCTAGAACGAGTAGGAGAACAAAAGCCTGGAGGGGGAACCATATACACCTCTTCCTACAAATCACCATTGAGAAAGGCATTCTTAACATCTAACTGTAATAGAGGCCAAGATCGAATCGTAGCAACTAAAAATAATACACGAATGGTATTCATCTTGGTAACAGGGGAAAAAGTATCCTGATAATCTATGCCATAAGTCTGAGCATAACCCTTGGCAACCAACTGTCCTTGTAACGAGCAATTGACCTATCTAGATATTATGCTTAACTGCAAACACCCAACGGTAACCCACAACCTTTCGTCTAATACAAAGCGGAACCATGTCCCAAGTATGATTTTTCTTAAGTGCTTGTAGTTTTTCTGTCATAGCATCATACTATTAAGATTATGCTAATGCATCTGCAACACTAGAAGGAAGAGGAACCGAGGCAACAGAAACAAGAAAACTTTGATAGAAGGGTGAGAGAACACAATAAAAAACAAAATTATAAATAGGGAAAGTACAAGAACGTTTACCTTTCCAAAGAGTAATGGGGCGATCATCAAGCAAAGCAATAACTTGAGAAGGCGGAGCTGGTGCCAAAGGTATAAGGCAATTGATTATGGGAGTAGAAGTTTATACATATTGTCTCCGACTATACACCTGTGGAAAAGGAATAATTCCCCCTGCTAGAGGAGTATAACGAAAAGGAATAATAGAAAACGAAATAGGCAAAGGTACAGGAGTTGAAGATGGAAGAAGGTGATCATCAATTTTATTCAATAGGAACCATTCACTTTGAGAACCAACTGAATCACTATAGTATGGTGTATGCTCAAAGAAAGAAACATCTATGGATATAAACCGCCGACTACTGGGAGGATGGTAACTCCTATAACCTTTTTGAGAGTAAGAATAGCCAAAAAAACACACACTTCAAAGCCTTGGGGTCAAGCTTTGTAAAAGTTTGCCCCAACTACTAAATAAAGCACACACACCCGAAGACTTGCGGAGGAATAAAAAAAAAGAAAGAAAAGAAGATAAGATTGAGAGTGGGGCTACAAAATTAGGAACCCTAGAAGGAGTTCTATTAATGATGTAGACAGCTTTAAGAACTGCATCTTTCCAAAATAACTGGGGAACATTCATGCCAATGCAGATTGCTCTGGCTAAGTCAAGGATGTGGCGATTCTTTCT